ATATATATATATATATATATATATGTATATATATATATATATATATATAATTTGTGTTTTGATTTATTAAATATGTTATTTTTTAGTTCCACGGTTACTTAATATTGAAACTATTGAGAACTGTATGAAACTTTGTCCTATGGTAGTTCAAGCTTTATGGGAATATAAGAGTCCCTTTCTTCAATTACCCTACATCACAGATGACCATCTTAAACATTTTGATAATAAAAAAGTATTATTTCTAATAATTTATTGATTTATTTCACAGACTTATGTAAATTTCAAAAATATTTATTATTTTATTATAGAAACGTGTTAGAAGTATTCAACATTTAGCACAATTAAAACATGAAGAAAGACGCAGTACTCTGAAATTCTTGTCAGACAACCAATATGAAGATTTAGTTAAAGTTCTTGGAAGAATGCCTTACATAGATTTTAAAGTTCGCTGTGAAGGTAATTGTTAGTAATAATTCATAATGAATTAATATTAATATAAGTAATAAATTGTTTTAGTTATTGATGATGAAGCAACTACAGTTTATACAGCTGGTGCAATAGTTACTGTAACAGTGCAGCTGAAAAGACAAGACATGAAGGTACTATTTGGTGATGAAACATTTACTGATGAACATGTAGAACCAGAAAAAAATTCTAAAGAAAAAACTGTTTCTAATGGAGATTTATTAGAGAAAAGTGATAACAGTGAAGTAATTAACGATATTGAAAAACATAAAAAGATAACCAAAGGTATTTGGCAACAAAAACGTCAATCAGGGAAAAGTAGTAAAAAAAATAATAACAAAAAACCAAAAGTTGCGTTATCAGCACATGCAAAAAAAAAAATAAAGAAAAAAGAAAAACAAGAAAAAGCCAAGGTATTAATTTTCAATAATTTTCTTAGCTAATTATAATGAAAAAAATATTATCATTTTATTTCATTTACAAAAATAACATAAAAACTAGCATTACTATCCAGTTATTTATATATTAGGAACAGATGTGTTAAATAAATAAATTTTATTAAAACTATTATAAGCAGTGGTGTACACAAAAATTTAATTTGGGGGGTTTTGAAATTTAAAGAAAATTAGATGTGACACTGCCCTTATTGTTCGCTCACAAAAATTCCTGTTTTCGATTACTTTATTGTGGAAATATTTATAGTATGATATGATCTTTTTTATTGTTATTACTTATTGTTTATCGTCCAAAATTGTCGCTTAGCTTATAAATTTTGGGAGGGATTCAACCCCCAAAACCCACCCTTGCATACGCCAGTGTTTTGAAGTGACCCAGATTGATAACATTTGCTAGGTGTATTCAATAGTGATTAAATACTTTCTTGTTTTATAGTAGAAATAAACTTCTCTGGAGACCCCAATATCTATAAACTTATTTATTTAAAACATATAACTTAATTTTTAAATACAAAATTAATCTGTTTATTTGATTTGTTCAAGATAACTTAAAAATAATATTACATTTATATCCCAGTAAATAAATTGTATCACTTATTTCATTATTAATTAAAAAATTATTTTTGTTTGTTTTCTGTTTCTATATTTATCATTAGTCTGTAGAAAATAGAAAGAAATTATTTAAAAAACTTATTTTGTAAATTAAATAGTATTGATTTTTATTTAGTCCAAAAACTGAACAATTTATTATATTAATATTTATTTTATTTATTAATAATAATATTTTAAAAAGGTTAAATTTTTTTTAGTCCATCTATAGAATGTAAATCTTGAGTTCTTTTTCTATTTCAATTTAATCATAATAATGATAATTTAAAAAAATTACTTATTTAAAAATTTAAATGATCAACAAAAAAACAAGTAATTATTTATAAGGCATTGATAGAAAGAGGGGTTATTTTAGGATAAATTTAATAGGACAGGTAAAATTGTACTTTTTAGCTTAGATGTGAAGATGAGGGGTATTGGTTTTATAACCGATTTTATGTTGCAAAAGAAACATATTTTATATTTATCCTGAATACTAGTTTAATGATTATAATAATATATTCATTATTTTTAGAGAAATCAAGTATTATAAAAGATATTACTGTATTTTATTACCAACATTAAACTATTGAGAGTTAAATCATTTTTTTTTGGAAAGATTAGTCTCTTAATTTTTAATATATATATATTCGATGGACATTGAAAACTATAACATATTTAACACTAACACTTAAATCACACTTTACTTTTTTGTAAAAGGTAACCCCTTTTCACCAAAACTAAACCAAATCCAAAAAGATACCATTATTCAAAAATATATCATAATATCATCCCTGAAAATATTAATGAATAACAATTAAATAGTATAATTTTATTTTTGTTAAATGGAGGTATTTAACTCTTGTTCCTATATGACTTAAAGTATAGGCATAAATAATTGAAGAAAAAAAAACAGACTTTAAACTATATTTTTTAATAGAATTTGTTACTCAACCCAAATCAACAGTATATAGGACTCCTTAATAGCACCATTAAATCCAATGGAATTTCTAGGGTGTGTTAAGTAGGAGCGTATATGTTCCTCAGAATGTCTCATTTGTCTCCCAATCAATTCCAAATGTCCACTCCAAATTATATACAGGTCAGAAAATTCGACAGAATTAAAGTATAAAATTTCTAAGATTTACTATTTGGTAATAATATGAAATTCCAACCAATAGTCTAATTTTTTTTTAATAGCCTAAATCTACTCATCAAGTTTTTTTTCTTATTTCAGTAAAAATTCGCTGATTTTAAAAGTCATATTTTTAGGGGGGATTGCCCCCATTTTATGATGAATGAGTGAAATTTTCTATTTTCAAGGGTCATGTCTTCTTTATATTTATGATATTTTGACTTAGCATTAGATAAAATTAATTCAATAGAAGCTAGAACTTAAGGTAATAGACACAAAAAAATAAAAATAAACACATCATATTAAAATTATAATAATACCTTCTCAGCTTCGCATCAAAGCTGAAAAATCATTCCAACAATTGTTTTACTATAATAAATTAGCCATTTAAGTAAAATATATATTGTCGTACGTCGGTAGTGCCCCAACGTAGACACAAAGGTTTATTAAAGTTTTATATATATATATATTGACGATGAGTTCGCCGTTCGAGCTCTTCCCGAGTCCTCCCGTTAGATAAACTGATCAGCCCCAATCTCTCTAATTAGTGGACCACTAAAGGGGTAGAGTTTAGACCCGTCAGCACAGTCTAGCTCAAAAGTAGCAGACTGAAGGGTGGCTCCTTGTCAGCCACCAGCACAACTACCTTTTTACTATACCCACTAAAGGACGGTTAAGCCCAAACACTAGCCAGCTCGTACACTAATTATTAAGATTGACTAAAGGACCAGCAGTCCAACCTAGACTCTAGCCGCACACACACACACACACACACACACAAACACACAATTTCGAGATCACCGTGAAAATAAAATATTTGCGCTAAGTCCAGATTTTTAAATAGCTATTTTATTTACGAAAAGTATTAAACACAAAAGTCAAATATAATATAATAATTTAACACAAAAATTAATTAAATCTTACAAAAAGTATATAGTTATTCTTACATCAACGACCTAATCCGCAACTCGACGTTTCTTCGACAAAAAACGTCCAGTCTCGTCTCGCTCAGTATCGTCCCGCGTCGTCCTCCTATACTTTTCATGTTTCCCTTTTATATTCTTTTTCCCACNTCATGTTTCCCTTTTATATTCTTTTTCCCACCATTATTAATTTGCTTACCCTGTATTTCCCTTTTATATGGAATTTTATATTGCTTAAGAGTTCAAAAATTGCTTACTACTATTGTAAAGCTTATATTATACTAAAATCGACGTAATTCAATACTTCCTCATCTAATTACTACA